ATCTGGTTTATTTCTAATTTTGGGGTATTACAAATAAAGCTGCTGGAAACATTTGTGTATTATAGCTTTTTCTTTGGACCGAAGTCCTCCTTTCTATAGGATAAATTCCCAGAAATGTTATTGCTAGGTCATATAGTAATTGCATGTTTCATTTCTTTAGTAAATTGACAGACTTTTTCATTATGTTTGTACCATTTTACATTCCCACCAGCAATGTATGAGTGATCAAATTTCTCTGTATTCCTGGCAGCATTTGGTCTTATCACTGTTTTTAAATTGTAACCATTCTAGGGGCGCCTGGGTGGCTCAGTGGGTTAAGCCTCTGCCTTCGGCTCAGGTCATGGTCTCAGGGTCCTGGGATCGAGCCCCGCATCAGGCTCTCTGCTCCCCCCCACCCCTGCCTGCTTCTTTGCCTACTTGTGATCTCTGTCAAATAAATAAATAAAATCTTTAAAAAAAAATAAATTGTAACCATTCTAATTCATTGTGGTTTTATTTATTGTATTTAAATATTATTTTTAAAAATAATCTCTACAACCAGTATTGGGCTTGAATTCGCAATATCAAGAGACAAATGCTCTACTAACTGAGCAACCAGGTGTCCCTCATTGTGGTTTTAATTCATAGTTTTCTGATGGCTAATGTTGGACATTTTTCATGTACTTATTTGCCATTTATATATCCACTCTGGTGAAATGTCTCTCATCTTTTGTCCAGTTTCTGATGGGCTTGTTTTGTTTTTTTAATGTTGAAATTTGAAAGTTCTTCATATAGTCTACATATTAGTCCTTTGTCAGATATTTGTTTTGAATTTTTTTCTCCCAGTTTGTAGGCTGTCTTTTCCTCTTCACAGTGTTTTTTTGCACAGGATAAAGTTAATTTTGATAAGGTCGAATACAACAGTTTTTCCTTTTATGGGTCATGCTTTGGTGTCAAATCTAGAACCTCTTTGCGTGGTTCTAGGTAGACACCAAAGATTGTCTTCTATTTTTAAAAAAAAGATTTATGGTTTTATATTATATCTAAGCCCATGATCTATTTTAAGTTAATTTTTATATAAGTTAGGAAATTTATATTGAAGTGTTTTTTTTTTTAACTTAAGTATATCTACTTCCTTAACTATCTTCTGTTGAAAAGGCTGCCTTTCTTTTCTTCACTGGGTTGCTTTTATACCTTTGTCAAAAATCAGTGTTCATGTTTGTGTGGATCTATTTTTGTGTTATTTATTTTATTCCATTAGTTTATGTCTCCTCTCCTCTGCAAATACCATAGTCTTGATTATTGTAGCTATATCTTAAGTCTTAAAATGGGGAAGACTGATTTCTCCCACTTTATTGTTTTTGTTTTCAAAAATTGTTTTTATCTATTCTGTTTTCTTTGGCTTTCCATATAAATTTTAGAATAATTTTGTGTATATATACAAAAATTCTTGCCAGGATTTTGATAGGAAACATATATATATATATATATATATATATATATATCAGTTTCTTTTCTCTGAAGTAACCATGAATAACTTGGCATGGGTTTACCTCTCCTCTCTCTCCTATTACCTTTTTGTGTTCATTTGAAATTTTTTTCTCCTATTCAAGGAAACAATTAAAATGAAGCAGGAATTGTTAATATAAAGTTAACCTTGAAAACCCTCCAATTTATATTTATAAAAATAAATTTTATAAACTTTAATCCTTTTAATAGTAATAATAACATTATTTGTAACTTAAAACTGACACTGGAATTTTTATAATTAATAACCACTATAGTAGGTAATAGCCAACCTTAACACAGGGAAGTGATAGTATCCTATTGACATTTAATTTTTAGAAAATTTTTAAAGATTTTGTTTATTTATTTCAGAGAGAGAGGAGGAGTGCAAGGAAGAACAGAGGGGAGGGACAAGCGGGCTCTGTGCTGAGTGCCTAGTTCGAAGTGGGGCTCAATCTTACAACCCTGAGACCATGACCTGAGCCAAAATCAAGAGTCGGAGGCTTAACTGACTGAATCATCTTGGCATCCTGACATTTTTAGATAGATTACTATAGAAGATAGCGTTGAGGAGGTACAAGATAGAAGCCTAGTTTAGGTACAAGAAAGTGATTGCTCTTGAGTACTTAGTACTGGGTAGTAGGGACAGAGCAGAGGGGACACGTTATTAGAGAATTATTTCAGATATAAGAATCAGTAGAAATTGATAAACAAAATGTTTTAGGCTTAGTTCTTAACCTTTGTTGCTCATTAGAATTATTCGGGAAACTTTTAAACAATGCCAATGCCTAGGCCTTGTTTTAGAATTTTTAGAAATCAGAACTTCTGGGATAGAGTCTGGGGATTGATATTTTTAAAATGTACCTCATGGGGCACCTGGGTGTACAGATGATTAAGCATCGGACTCTTGGTTTCAGCTGAGGTCATGAACTCAGGGTCATGGGATTGAGCCCCACATGGGGCTCTGGGCTCAGCGTGGAGTGTGCTTAAGACTCTTCTTCCTTCTTTCTCAGCCCCTCCCCCTGCTCACTCAAGCTTTCTCTCTCTCTCTCTCTCTCTCTCTCTCAAATAAATAAGTAAATCTTAAAAAAAAAAAAAATGGGGGCGTCTGGGTGGCTCAGTGGGTTAAAGCCTCTGCCTTCAGCTCAGGTTATGATCCCAGGGTCCTAGGATCGAGCCCTACATCAACCTCTCTGCTCAGCAGGGAGCCTGCTTCCTCCTCTCTCTCTGCCTGCCTCTCTGCCTACTTGTGATCTCTCTGTCAAATAAATAAATAAAATCTTTAAAAAAAAATGTACCTCATGATTGTAGTATGTAGCCATTGTTGTGAACCACTAATTCAAGTTGTGGAGAAGAGGGAAGAATCAGGAATAAGTGAGTACCAGGCTGCCAGCTGAGGCTAGTGGTGGATAGAGGTGGCATGCCTTGAACATTGTCTGTTTCATGGTAGCTATTCAGATATTTCTTGAATAAATGAAAATTGATGACTTGGAACTTGAACCACAATCAGTTCCTTATTTAATTTCTGATTATTCTAAATCTGGATGAATTGATCCCAGTTCAATATATTATTGACTGGAACCCAACCAAAATAAATTCTGCCACAGGTGAGGTTATATCAAAATAGGCATCTTCATATGATTCGAGGAAAAGAATGATATGAATCATCTACATTGTGATGTGATATTGTGAAGCAAAGTGCTAGTAGAAATAATTTGACTTAATTATAGTATATTATACAAATTGATGTTTCTATTAAGTGGCTTAGGTAGAGAATTTGGGTCCCCATACCCTGTAAATAAGCAGGTATTCAATAAATGTTTATTAAATTATGCTATGAAATATCTTTATCAGAAAGTCATTATATTTATCATATAGTTTTTTTTTTACATTAATTGAAGAATGAAAGGCAGTATGTTTGTCTGTCAGCCCCTGTCCTACTTCTCTACCTATACTCTTCCTGTATACTATCTTCCTTTACACTCCTTTGTTCTCACTGCTACTGCCCAAGTTTAGTCTGAACTGTTGGTTCTAAATGATAGGACTATAGCTTAAACTATTTTGAATAGTATATCAAATTTCTTGGTACCTGAAGGTTGAAAGGATGTTGAGATAGCATACAGAATTGAAGGAAAGCTTACAGGAACCAGGGCCTTGGGAGGGAATTATAGAGCAGGGAATTATAAATTTAGAACACACTCTCAACTCTGCTTGGCTTCATTCTTTTTATTGCAATCAGGCCTTTGTGAAAAGATCAAAGGGAGCAGTCTGCATCCTAGCTTCATATTCTTCTGAATATGACCATGACCTCAAGAGGCAAGACCATTTCTTCTCCTGCTCTAAATTAGGAGATTGATTTGGATCAGCTGTTGTGTCCAGAGAAAGGAGGATACTGTGATTTGTCTGGTTGGGAGCTCATGCCAGTCCCAGTGGCCAGGGGAGGATAAGGATATACCAAAGAAGAGGCAAAGAAAGTCTTGTCCTGAGACCACATCATTAACAGTCACTGCCCTCTTGAAGGCTCCATTGCCACAGACCTTTGATGATTTTCCATTTCAGTTTATGTAGCAACTTACTGTTCAAAACAGCAATGGCAGAGTGCCTGGGTGACTCAGTCGATTAAGCGTTTGCCTTCTGCTTTTCCCTTTCCCTCTGCTCCTCCTCTACTCGAGCTCACTCTCTCTTGCTCACTCTTTCTGTCAAATAAGTAAAATCATGAAAAAAAATGGCAGTGGCAATTAAATTTTGAAAAAAAATTTTTTTAAAGATTTTATTTATTTATTTGACAGAGAGAGATCACAAGTAGGCAGAGAGGCAGGCAGAGAGAGAGGAGGAAGCAGGCTCCCCGCTGAGCAGAGAGCCCAGTGCGGGGCTCCGATCCCAGGACCCCGAGATCATGACCTGAGCCGAAGGCAGAGGCTTAACCCATGAGCCTTCCAGGCGCCCCTAAATTTTGAAAATTTATGGAGAAACATTAAATAATATTCAGTTTCAGAGTAGTATTGTGAATGAGCTATTTGACTAAAGATGGACTTAACACAGCTAACATAATGCATTTGTTTAACAAAATTTAGTTTGTCCTTCTATGGACAAGGCATTATACAGTTATAGTATATCAAGCCAAGCCTGGCTTACAAGGCATTGTGAAATTATGTAAGATTTCATCAGAGGATGAATTAATTTGTTTTCTTGTTTCATTATTTAGTTTAAATTTCTTTAATTATTTTTATTATTTCCCACCATGAAATTCAATATTTAAGAATTAGATTCTAGTTATTGATACAGAATTTGAATGACATGGAATTTTTAACAAGTAGATTTTTCTGATACTTAATATTTGTAAAAAGGATATTTTTGTTCTTTTAAACATCTTATTCTTATCCCTGTCATTGATGACCCTTTTTGAAAGCCTATTCAGTGGTTAATAATCATTCAAAATATGATCTGTAGTTAAGAAGCTATCTTTTTCTATTTATTTACCAAATTCAAATTTATTATTTTTTCTGTCATTGTAGTCTATTGCATCTGCAGACATGGATTTCAACCAGCTGGAGGCATTCTTGACTGCTCAAACCAAAAAACAAGGTGGGATCTCATCTGACCAAGCCGCTGTCATTTCCAAATTCTGGAAGAGCCACAAGATAAAAATTCGAGAGAGTCTCATGAACCAGAGCCGTTGGGACAGTGGGCTTCGGGGCCTGAGTTGGAGAGTTGATGGCAAATCGCAGTCAAGGCATTCAGCTCAGATACATACCCCTGTTGCCATAATGGAGCTGGAAATAGGGAAAAGTGGACAGGTAACCTTTTCTAAACTATATTTTTCATTACATGTTAGCTCTATATTCAGATTGATTTTATGTAACAGTCTTCTTTGCAAAGATAATAAGAATAGGAACAGACCCTGTTTCCTAGAATCCCTTTTCAGAGATGGAATCATCTGAAAACTTAGATATTCCCAGTTTTGGATAGAATCTGGACACTAGCCTCATGGTCCTGGCAGCTATCTCAGAAGTACGAAATGGGTCATTAAGGTGATTGCACAGAAGTTGGCTGCTACTCCATTTTGGTTAGATCTCAGAATTCTTGGCATTTGGTCAGAATCTCTAAAGCAGTGATAGAGATGCTGAATAAAGAGCAGAAACAGATGAAACAACACGGAATGTAACTGTCTCACCCAGTCATCTGTATCGGCAGTGTATCTTAATTACAGTAATGTATTTGTTCCTAAAGACCCTAAATGTGCAATCTCTGTCCTTGAGCCCACAAATAATTTTTAATTTGATCTTGATTATTTACAAAACAGTCCTCTTTTTCTTGCATTTCCCATAGTCATTATAGCAGATAATTTTGGCATCTACATTGTTTTTTTGAAGTCATTTAGTTTGTGCTTCAGATGACTGCCAGATCAGACTTTTAATGACCTGGTATATGTGTTTTGGGAAAAAAAGAAAAGAAAAGAGAAGAAAAAAGCAGCAACCCATAATTAGGAAGAGAAAACCCAGATCACTGAATTAGCTAACCAGATTTATTTTCAGATAAATAATCACATAAGTGCTTCTGTTACATCCTTTAATAAAAATTTATTTTTCTTCTACAGATGAGAGTATTTTTTTTAGCTGTCAGTTTCCTTCACATATTCCTTTCTTAAGTTTCTTAGGATTTTTCAGTGTTTGTAGTTCCACGATGACATTAATTTTAATTTAAAAGGTAATTCGTTTAAAAAAACAATTCTTTTTAAAAATGCATTTGGAGAATCTTTTATACAGTTATTGTGAAATAATGCTGTTGCCTTAATTGACTTTGGTTTGTCTGACCCTGAAGTCTTTTCTCTTAACCATTGTCCTATATGGCCTTCCTCCTACTGTTCCTGGACCAAAAATGTGACAGATTAGAAAGGTGTGGTAAGCATACTTGCATATCTAAGTTTCACTAGCCATTTGTACAGGCTGTTCAATTTTTATCTGGCAGTAGTGATTATTTCATTTTGTCTTTAAGTATTTATCATTTGGGCAGGAATATCAAAACACGTATATCTATTTTAAGACGTTCCTAGAAAGCTCTTATAGTACTTCTTTAACTTGATACTTTCCTGTTTTTTCTTGAACTCAGTTTATAATGTGCCTTTTGATTTCAGTAACTTACATGTCATCTGGATTTATTGGGTATCACCACAGGGATTTTTCAATCTACTTTAAAATCTTTAAATTTTTTTCTTTGATCTTGTTACCCAAAGTGGCATTCAGCTGTTTGTTTGTTTGTTTGTTTTTTTAGTGTAGAAAGATTCTGCCAACAGTAAATCTAAACATCACTACAAATAATTTGCTGGCTAGCTTCAGGGACATTTTGTGATCAATTAGAACAAGTTGGCAAATTTTTTTTTAAGTGGCCAGATAGTTTGTGCTTGACAACCATATAGTTTCTGTCGTAAGTACTCAGCTTTGTTGTTGTAGCTCAAAAGCAGCAACAGACAATATGTAAATAAATGGACATTGATGTTTCTAGAAAGTTTACCTATCACAACGTAATCAACAGGTATTAGAAGTCAGAGAGTCCTTAAGCACTTACCTGATGAATTACACAGGTGAGATAGTCTATCCCCATTTTCTAGAGAAGGTGTCTGAGATAGATATGACTTCCTTTAGACAGAAGTACTACGTGGTAAAATGAAAACTAAAATGGAGATTACCAAATTGATATTTTTCCCCAAAAACCGTTGACACCAACTTTTAGGAGCCAAAAAAAACGTGTTCGTAATACAATATAGTAGTTAACAGCATTGATATTGAAATTGCTCTTTAACCCATAAGTCCTTTGAATGCAAATATATTCTTAAATAAATATATCAATATATAACCTAGGCTGGCAATAAAATATACAGCCCAAATCCTATAGGAAATATTTTTGTGAGACCTGGATCCTTGGTTAGTACTTCTGTCAGCCTCTAAGTGAATATTATTTCTGAAGTACTCTACTATATCAAATTCCCAGTTTTTAGAACATTTATAGGCAACAAAGTCAAAGTTATTTTCATATGTAGACATTGAATGAACTTGTGAGAGGATTAATAATTCTAGGATACTGAGAGGTTGCTTCCAAGAAGAATGACCTACTTTTTTGAACTCTGTGTATATGTGCATATGTGTATTGATATACCCCAAAGTAACTAAATTACTATCTTCAGTTTATGTTGTTTTAAATAATTTGTTCTCAATGATGGCTGCACGTAAGAATCACTTGTGGGGCTTTAAAATTTTTCATGCTTAGGATGGTGTTGAGACCAATTAAATAAGAATCTGTGGGGATGGGACCTGGATATCAGTATTCGTTAAAGTTAGTGATTCCAGTATTCATCCAGAGTTGGATGAATTCATACAGAGAACCACTGTATTAAAGGTAGCCAAACAATGTGATTTGAAGTGTAAATAGGGCTTGGCATCAAATTTTTATAGTGAGAATTCAATATATGTTGGCATAGTACTTCTAGTTACCATAATATATGGAGTGCTTGGGGACTGTCTTCAGGAACTAGATGTGGTAATGGTGGGTTTTTTGTTTTCCCTTCTGTATTTAAATTGCTTTCTCCTGCTAGTTTGTCTGTGTTACTTATTTCTTTGGTACAGAAAGTACATTTGGTGATCAGTGGCCAAGTACACTCATTGACTTTTTTCTTTTAACACAATATAGTACACTTCAGGAAGATGAAGAAGCCAAAGTAATAGAGAAGTAACTAAGCAGTATATTTTTTTTGGAAATCTACAGAACTAAAGAAAATGAGTATGAACTGGTGAACTAATTACTTATCTTAGAATGAATGTTTTTCATCAACAGAAATAAAAGATTTTGCAAGAATAAAACATGAATTCAATGGTGAAAGGACACAAAACTTTGAGGTGAACATTTCATGTACAAAGGAAAGAGCAAGTACTTTCCTTGTATGATTGAGATCCCATCATATTTGGTCATAAATCACTGAGGGTCCCTAAGCCTTGAGGACTGTTGGAATCTGGCAGATGTCTTTACGAAAATTTTGTTGTTTAAGTACTTAATTAACTCCATGTTGTGTTTTTCTTTTCTGGAACTTAATTATCATAGAATGTTTTCTCTTTAAAATAGTAAATTTTGGGGGGATAATTTAAATGTTTAGTGGAGTCTCATTAATGGTTATTTTTTAAAGACTAAATTTTGGTATTTTATAAAGCTGTGTTGTTTTTCTTTTGTGACTTTTTTTTTTTTTAAGAGTTTATGTATTTTGTTAGTAATCTCTACACCCAATATGGGGCTCGAACTCACAACCCTGAGACCAAAAGTTGCATGCTCTTCTGAATGAGCCAGCTAGACACCCTTCTTTTGTGACTTCTTGTTTTACAAGACCAATAAGACATTTTGTGAGAAAACATCTAGCTACAACCTCAGCGCTAAACTATTCAGTAATAAATTGTTCCTCTTATCTTCCACCAAATTGTTCTTTTGTATACATTTTGAGGTACCCTGCCTATAGAGGTCATAAATATAAAGCTCTGTTTCTTTTGTTTTAAAAATGGCTAGTATTACTGCCTTTTCTAGACTAGGTTTTAGTGTACCAGGCACTCCTCTAGGAGTGTGTTTTCAGCAGATACAGGGAAGAAAATAGTGTCTGTCTTTATTGATCTGATTTTTTTTTTTTCTGACCAACTCATCATATGTTTAGTTCTGTCATTTGTATGCAGTTAGATAATAGGAATATGCAATGGTCTCCTCACTCGCATTTACAGAATCAGGACAGGTTTAGACTCTGGATTAAAAAGTCAACATTTTATCTGAAGGCTAGGTAAGCGTCTAATCTCCGAGGAAAGCATTCACTTACATTTAATTTCCATAATTCCTCCTAGAACTAAATGTACTGGGGTACCTGGGTGGCTCAGTTGATTGGGCATCTGCCTTAGGTTCAGGTCATGATCTCAGGGTCTTGGGGTTGAGCCCAGCATCAGACTCCCTGCTCAGTGGGGTCTGCTTCTCCTTCCTCTGCCACTACCCCCTCGCTCGTGCTCACTCTCTCTCAAATAAATAAATAAAGTCTTTTTAAAAAATAAAATGAAATGTACTGATATTCTTGTGCAGTTCTGGCTAATGAAGAGTAAGACCTGCTAAAACCTGTGATTAATAATCAATTTAGGGGTGCCTGGGTGGCTCAGTGGGTTAAGCCTCTGCCTTCGGCTCAGGTCATGATCTTAGGCTCCTGGGATCGAGCCCCACATCGGGCTCTCTGCTCAGCAAGGAGCCTGCTTCCCCCTCTCTCTCTGCCTGCCTCGCTGCCTGCTTGTGATCTCTGTCTGTCAAATAAATAAATGAAATCTTTAAAAAAATAATCAATTTAATTTTTTGGAGAATTCGCATTTATTGAATAATTGGGATACAACATGGAATTTCTGAATTCCAAATAAATAAATTTCACTTTACAAACATTTGTTACTTTTTAGTACCAACAGGCTTGGTAACAGCCTCAAGTTGACCTGACAAGGAATGACAACCTCCCCTCCCTGGTCCTTCAGTGTGCTTAATAATAAGTCCTTTTCCTTTTCTGTGACTCTTCTAGGGGATAGTCTACTGTTCTCCTTTCTGTACAGTTTGGGCAAACTAACTGGTGATAGTAGTGTCAATGAAGCAGTCCACACAACTAGAGAGACAATTTTCAGTGGGAGAGTCTAGGCGATTCCCTGGCTTCTCCACACATTTATCCCAGCATAGCTCCAAGATGTGATACACCTGTGCAGTGAACTGCAGGTGCCTTCTGTTGTTTGGCTGCCCCCAGGTGCTGCAG